TCTAAACTTTTCTACTTGAGGTATAATTTGATCTCCCAATTTCACTTCCAAATTATTGTCGAATAGTCCTTTACCAAATTTACAATATAAATATTCCGTCTTACTTCTACTCAGACGAAAACCTTTCGACTCCAATGTCCTCTTCCATAACTCAAGTTTGCAATTAACCTCTTCTCTTGTCTCTGCTATAAGAACTATATCATCCGCAAAGAGCATACATTTCGGGATTTCCTCTTGAATAGTTTCCGTCAAAACATTTAAAATCAAGTTGAACAAATAAGGACTCAGAGATGATCCCTGATGTAGTCCAATCTTTATAGGAAAATCCTTTGTTTGACCACTAGGCGTTCTTATACTAGTTTTTACCCCCTCATACATATCTTGTATGGCTTTAATATAAGCAATCCGTACTCCCTTTTTTTCCAACGCTTTCCAAAGCACTTCTGTTGGTATACGATCATAAGCTTTTTCTAAATCAATAAAAACCATGTGTAGATCTTTGTCTTTACAACGATACTTTTCCATTAATCCCCTTAATAGATAAATCGCCTCTGTAGTTGATCTACCTGGCATAAAACTAAATTGATTCTCAGAAATACTTGTCTCCAATCTCAACCTGTGCTCAATTACTTTCTCCCACAATTTCATTGTGTGGCTCATGAGTTTAATCCCTCTATAGTTAATACAATTCTGAATATCTCCTTTATTTTTATAAATAGGAATTAATGTACTTCTCCTCCACTCATCAGGCATTTTCTTGGACCGTAAAATCACATTAAATAACTTAGTTAACCATCTCACCCCTTTTTCACCTAAACATTTCCACGCTTCGATAGATATATAATCAGGTCTGTTAGCTCTACCATTTGCCATTTTCTTAAGAGCTTCCTTTACCTCCTTATCACGTATTATTCGATAGAATGACAAATTTTGTTTTCCTTCACCAGTTACTAAATCCTCCAAGTTACTAGATGAATCCTCTCCATCATTGAAGAGTTTAGAAAAGTAAGTCTCCCATCTATTTTTAATTTCATCATCTGTAACTAAAATTCTTCCCTCTTCATCCTTAATACACCTTACCTGTTCTAGATCTCTTATTTTCTTTCCCTACTCTTGGCAATCTTATAAATATTTTGCTCTCCTTCCTTCGTCTCAAGGTTCTTATAAAATTCTTCAAAAGCTTTAGAACGAGCTTTACCCACAGCTCTCTTAGTTTCTTTCTTAGCCATACGGTACCTCTCCCAATTTTCCTCATTGTTACACAAATGTGTGGCTTTAAAACAGTTCTTCTTATACTTGATTTTGTCCTGTACACTATTATTCTACCACCAAGACTCCTTATCTCTTGGACCAGAACCTTTCGATTCTCCCAAAACTACTTTTGCAACCTCCCGTATCTTTTTAGCCATATCCTCCCATATGATGTTAGCACTTCCCTGAGATTCCCAAATTCCTTTATCCAAAAGATTTCGCTTGAAAATATCTTGCTTCTCACCTTTTAATTGCCACCACCTAATCCTTGGTGTTACTACTTGTCGACGTTTTTGGATTTTACTCATAATACACACATCAAGGACTAGGACCCTATGTTGTGTCGTTACAGCATCTCCGGGGATCACCTTACAATTTTTACAAAGTCTTCTATCTGTGTTCCTAACCAAAAGAAAATCAATCTGTGACCTTGAGGCTCCACTTTTGTAAGTGATGAGATGCTCATCTCTCTTCTTGAAACAAGTGTTGAAAATCTTAAAATCATACGCCAATGAGAAATCAAGAAGAGTTTGTCCTTCATTGTTTAGCTCTCCAAAACCAAAACCACCATGCACCCTGCATACTGACCAGCTTCCCTCCTGACATGCCCATTAAAGTCTCCTCCAATAAAATCTTTTCATTCTGTGGTATATGTCGAATCAACCCCTCCAGATCCTCCCAAAATAATTCTTAAGACTGGCTTCTGTCCCGACTTGCGACGCATAAGCGCTAACAATATTAACAGTCTCACGTCCAATTATCATTTTTAAGGAAATAATTCTATCTCCAATTCTGCTAACTTCTACAACGTTCTTCTTCCACTCCTTATTTATAATGATGCCTACTCCATTGCGAGCACTTACTTTCCCTGTATACCAAAGTTTGAAACCTTGAATATCCTTAGCTTCTTCTCTACGCCATTTTATTTCTTGCAGGAAAAGGATATTGATTTTCCTTTGAATCATAACCCCTACAACCTCTACAGATTTACAATTTAATGTCCCAACATTCCTAGTACCAAATCTAATTTTGCTCTTATGGACTAACTTCTTTAGCCGCGTGCGTCCAGAATGACGCAGTAGTCCTTGCTCATTTAACACTACATCCAGGCGCCAATGCAGCGGCTCTAACTTACTTATCACTGTACTCGAGCCATGCAGCGCGTTACTTACGGGCAACGACCTAGTATTAACATTATAACGTCTATTGTCCATGTTCATGATAGATTCAACAAAGTTTTACATTGGCTGTTGATGGCCTAACACAACCCTCCTCCTTTACCCGGGCTTAGGACCGGCTATAAACATAGGCGGAGTTATGATCATAAATCAATAATATTACAATTTATAATTTTATAACTTATTAAATATAGGTGGGTTTCAATTAAAATGGATAAATTCAAAAGTATCTACATTTGTATTTATAATCATTAATATTTTTGTAAAAAAAATGGTCCCAAATTATATTATATATGTGGATGGCTGCAAAATGAAGTTAGGTTTTAAATACCTATTCGGTTCTTTGAAAATCATTCCAATTTCTGGCTCATTGGAAGCTCAATTTCAATTCAACTCAACTTAATCATAAAAATAATTTTTTGTTTGAAACCAAGCCACTAATGGCTCTGGTCAACAATCCAAACAGTTCGACCGTCCAATCTGGTTCTTAAAATAATGATCAAAAACATATATTGGTTTTATTGAAATCCAACTCATCCTAACTTAATATATTAAAAAAAAAACGCATGATTGAGTTGTAAGTCTTTTTTTCTTTTTTGTGGGTGAATGAGTATTGAGTTGTATGCATTTTGGTTTGTTTGTCATGTCAAGTCTAATTATGAGTAACTCTCTTAAAAGCTACATTTACACTGTTGGAACTCAAAATTTCTTGTACAGTCATAGCTCAAGGCTTATGCTAGCCTTGAGTTAAAAAAAAAAATGCTTTTTGTAATTAAAAATAACAAATAAAAAATCTTGAAATTGAAAGTATCTAAAATTTATCAACTCAAAGTTTACGCAAGTGATAGAAATTATCGGCACACATTACTTAAAGCAAGTGATTCAAAGTGGAAATCGAATCTCAACTCTTACATAAACCTAAGTGGGTTTAGCTTCAGTACTCTGTTTTTGGTGGAGTCCTTGTGCAGTCTTAGATTTTCTATTACACAAAATTGTTATGTAAAAAGAAAAATAAATATATAAAAAGACGAACCTCTTTATTTAGAATATACAGATCAGCACTGAAGAGGATCACAGGATCCCATTGATACAAAGACACAAAAAGTGACCTTTAATTTTTGTCACGGCGAATGATTTTTTTCATTTTTTTGCCGACACTAATGACTCATTAGTGTTTGACTGGTCACCAGTCTGAGGCCGGTTCTTGTTTGATTCAGTCTTTTGTTTGCTCAAGACCAGAATAAATATCGGTTCTCAATTCAATTAGTTCAACCAGTTGGTCCCGCTCGGTTTTCTTAACAATGCTAATGAGTTCTCAAACCCCACATTAAATATATATATATATATATATATATGAGCGTAAGAGTGCATGAGATTGTTACATTATCACTTTCATAAAGTGATTTTATATATAAAAAATTAAAATAACTGAAAGCAATATTTTTTTGGTTTTTGGTTAAATGTAATTATTATGACTATAATTTATATCATTTAAAACAGTTGTGAATCTTAGAGGAAGTGATTATAACTGCTTAAATGCAAAGTTTTGAGTTGGAGTTTATATAAATGTAAAATATATCTTTAAGAAAATTATCCCTACTTAAATTTGACAATATTCAAATATGACTCTGTTAATTTGTAAATAGTATCTTTACCATTGAGGCCCAAGAGGCGGAGCCACTAGTGGTATAGATTGGCACTGGGCCAAGCTTTTTCTTGCTTTCCTTTTCTTGTGTTTTTTCATGGACCCAACTTTTGCGAAATTTGTCAGTCACACTCTACAGTCCATTGTTGGTGGATACAAGGTCCAACGTCCCAGTGATATGATGCCATGACATAGACCTAATTACCTAACTATCAAAAGTTTGGATCCAACGAAACAAACAAAGATTTTGTAATTAAAATGGGATTGTTTTCAATAAAAAAATATTTATGTGTAATAAAAAATAAATCGAATTCATAACCAGCTTCTCTGTCAGTTTCATGAATTCTAAGAGGCACCTTACTCTGATTCCAAGTTTGCATCACATTTTCAGAGTTAAATCGCTCAATTCGAATCTTGTCGTTATACCCATTTCTTTGCTTCTTTTTTTTTCCCCCAATATACATGGCCATGGTAGGAGCCGTGCAAGAGAACAACAGCTAAGTTAAATCAGAATCCAAAAGATCTCAGTCGTTATACCCATTTCAAATTTTCAATACCAAGCTCAGAACGATGGTTCATACGTGTTCAAACTAAGATCTGGATTCTGGATGGTGTAGCTCTGTGACAATGAAACTGACCATAATCAAAACAATTAAACATAAATGACATAAATACAGTCTAAATGATGATACTGGAAAATATGAATAGGTGCCAAACTCTTTCACGCTCTGAAACAACTCAGGGAAGCAGCAAGTTTCGCATCAAGTGATTGTAGCAAAGAAAATCTTTTAAGCAATTCTGGGCTCAATGATTCATCATCAAGAAAGCTTACATGGTGTACAGGGAACGTTGGCGGCACAAACAGCATTGGTCCTCTCTTTGCGATTCACTCACACAAGCACAGGTCTCCATTCAAACTATGGACAGAAGAAGTGATGAGATCCTATGTGACGTCCTAGGTGGCATGCCATGTCATCAAGACATCCAATGCCAAATCATTCAAGTAGAAGAAAGCACAAGGAAAGAAATCAATATCCAAGAGCTTATAGTGTGGAGGGATCTCACCAGGAAGAAAGCATATTTTCATGTGATAAACGAAAATAGTACTTTCCAAAGTCATGGAGATCTGATACTTCAGAACTCAATACATGACTATACATCATAAATGCACAAGTAGGTAATTTAGATTGCATAACCACTGTTAACACATCAAAACTTCAAGAGAACAATAAAAAATCCCATCTTTTAAAGGAATGTAGCCAGGTCCCGATTAAAACATAAACTTACATTCTTCAAATTGAAAGGTGCTATTAAGTCAAGAACATTGATCAACAAATGGGACGATTTCTGAAAGGGAAGAAGAGGACTAATATAGTTATCAGTGCATAGTATATCAGGTCAATAATTCAATTCACTTGTAAACTGAAAAATGCTTCACCCATGACCAAAGAAACTACATAATGAATTCCTGATAGACTCCCATCCCAACCAGTGGCACTTTGGGTCAGCTAATGCAAGTAGACAAGTCAAGAGATAAAAAAAAGCATGCGTCTCTCCCTTTAGCTATGAGTACTGCATAACTACAAGAGTAATTAGCCTTGGAATAGTCCTAACAGGCCTAGTTAGACTCTATCATTGCCTTTTAAGCAACATTAACTGTCTTTCAATCCTTTTATAGTAAAAGGAATGATAAAGAAAGGAACAGGCAATCAGGCAAGGGCAAGGGCAAGGGTATTTGATACAAAGAAAAGCATCAATCATAGTAATAAGCCAAGAAAAATGCTTCATCCAATCTTTTCAGTTTCAGGACATGCAAAACTCATCAGACAGATATAAGGAATATGCAAGTCATCAGTATTTGTATTTCTGAAGACAAGAGCAGCAAAACCACATAATGCCAAAGGAAAAAAAAAAAAAACAGAACAAACACTGCAGCCAACTATACTACCGAAAAAAGCCAGAGAAAAGAAAAAACATATATGCATCAGGAGAATAATCCATAAACTAGAATTAGCTAGCATGGTTAGTACACCAATGAATAATACCCAAATAATTGCCAAAGAAAACATATAAAGACAATAACTTTATGTATCAAGACTGTGATGGATACAGACTGGAGTTAAGAGAAATGTGCCATTACAAATTGATCTTGCATGCAGATACACATCATAAAACATAGAATACTAAAATTATCAGCTGTAGAAACATAGTGATGATTCTTGAGGGGGATGACAGTTCAGTAATTTAAAGCATCAATAAGACCATCAACGAGTTAACAGACATCTTGGTTCATAGTTTATTAGCGAGAGTGTGTGACTATTAAACTTTAATTCAAAACGAAGTATGCACAAATTGCCGCAAATTATTATAAGATTAACCGGAAGATGATTCGCAGTACCTGTTACTACAACACTTACAAGCATGCATACAACTACAGGTAGAAAATCTACAACAGGGAACAAAAATACAGGCGGCAATAAAAGCTAGTGACCCTTAACCTTGTCATCTGCTACAACATTGAGGATGGGCAAGCTATTGAGGAATTCATCAAGACCTTCAAAAAATGCATTCCCTTCTATATTTTCCTCAGCATTTCCAGCTACATTACCATCTCTCACTGCTGGGGCTGGCTCTTCCACCTCATTGCTGAACTCCACATTCAAATCCAATTTCCCCAGATTCCCTGCACCCCTTCTTCTAGAGCTATTCGCGGCTTTTTTACTCAATTCTGCCCTCACAGTATTAGGCACACCAGACCCACCGTCTCCGACCACGCCATTTTCTAAATTGGCATGTCCTGACCCACTCTGGCTCCCTCTCCTAGTTCTTTCAGAAAAAGCTCTTCTAACTTCACCACTAGCATTACCAGAGGTTTTTCCTTTGTTCTTAGCCCTCTTCTTTGCCCTCTCGCTCCTCGCTCCCCAATCAGCATCATCAGAATCATCATCACTTGGATCAGAAAGTTCAATGAATGCAGCAGCAGCTTCATCATCATGAAAAACCCAAGGACCTCTCCGAGAACCCTTGTTAGATGCTCCTCCTCCTCCTCCTCCTCCTCCTCTCAAAGGGCATGCAAACATTGCAGAGAATGGGTTCCACTTGGAATTAGTCCCACTTATGTGTCTGAAATCCCCAGAAAACCCTAACGGGAAAAACCCCCAACAGCAATAATACGAATCTTTCCCCGCCACCGGCGGCGTCCGTACCCTCACCGCATGGAATCCCCTTCTACAGCTCTGGCACCTTAGGGTACAGTCCTCGTACAACTCCGGGTACTCGTACATAACGTAACAATATGGGCACGCCGTCCAGAAACTCGAACCCGTCTCCGACACCACTGGGTCACTCGTCCGAGCTTGTGGGGTCGGCTCCGTCGTGGCAATGTTAGGGCTCGGCCTACGCTCGCCGGCAGCCGCCTTCCCATCTTTCGACCTTGGGCCCCGCCTTGCCGGACTTCGCTGCTGCTGTGGTGGCCGCTGGACAAGGGGTGGATTGGGAGTCGGAATCGGATTCGAAGTCGGAACCGGGTTCGGCGCTTGCACCGTTGCCACCGGAGCAGGTTGTGGGGGAGGGGCTGTAGGAGGTGGGCCGGTGACCATACGCAGCTCGTTGTCGTACATAGCCTTCTTTGCGGGACTGGAGAGTACAGACCACGCGTCATGAACGAGTGTGAACGCGTGGCTAGAGAACGCAAAAGGGTTACGGTGAGGGTCGAGGAGGAGAGCGAGACGACGGTACTGCGAAGCGATGTACTCGATGTTATGAGTGTAAGGCAGAATCTGGAGGATGCTATACCAGTCATGGAGGCCATTGATCCGATTCTCGCCAGCGAGGAGGGTGTCGATGACAGCGAGGAGCAACTCCGAGGCGTCAAATGTAGGATCAGACTCACGAGCTCGAACTGCAAAAGACCTAGCGCCGTGCAGATCACTGGCGCTGAGGAGCTTATTAGCGGTGTAGAGCCACCGTTCGGCTTCAGCTCTGCTGCTACTATTGTCCATTTTCACGGTGGCTTTGGGCTTCGATTGACGCTGCAAGTGCTGTCGTAGTGTTGTGTGTGGGGTTTGGGAGGAGATGGGGGAGAGTGGAGGAGAGAGAAAGGAGCTGATTCAGAAAGGACAGGAAAGGAAGGAGTAATTACGAGGTACGAAGAAGGGGAGGGAGGGTAGAATAGAAGGGCATAATGGCCATTGAATTGGGATAGGAGGTGCTGATGCAAAACAGAGCAGAACATAACATGAGGATCTGTGCAAGAACCGAAGGAGCAGAAATGAAGTAGGTTGGATACTTCAGTTCAGTGACCAGTGATGTGAGTTGTGACCGTTGACCTAGGAGTTTCTGTGTTAGAAATGAAAAAGTGTACTATTTACCATTTAATATTTATTTTTTTAAAAAAACACACATACATATATAATTAAGTGGGCAAAATATAAATATAAATAAATATAAAATAAGTTTGTTCTCCCTTCCATTTTAATTATAAGAACATTTCTGAAACGTAAGTTGTTTTTATAAATGACACATTTTTTTCTAATTATCTGCCGTATTTATTTTTTTTTTACAAGAATGCCTTATTAAATTTTGACATTAATTATTTACGTGACTATGAAAGAGAGACAAGATGTTCAACCATATTGAAAAGCATTTTTGACAGGAAATGATAAAAATTTTAATCTTTTAAATTTATTTTAATTATTAATTTACTCTTTTAAGTGTTTTGTTATTCATGAATTAGTAACAACTTAGTTTCATTTAAATTTTGTATTATGTATAGAATTAAAAGGGGATGTAAATTGTGTGCCTTGCACAATTATGTATAGAAAATTAGAATAAGGTAATATTTTTTAATAACGTAATATTTATAAATACAGACACATACACACATATATATAACGAATTGGCAATATATATATATATACACAAAATAAAGTTAATACAAGAACATTTTTGCAAACAAAGTTGCTTTGATATGTGATTTTTTCCTAATTATCTACCTTTTTTTTTTACAAGAATGCCTTATTAAATTTTCACATTAATTATTTAATAGACTATGAAAGAGAGACAAGACGTTCAACTATATTGAAAAGTATTTTTGATAATAAATAATAAAATTTTTAATCTTTGAAGTTTGTTGCAGTAATCAGTCCTTAAAATTTTATCGTTTATGACTTGTTGATAGTTTTTCATATATATTTCATATTATGCACTATAGAATTAAAAGGGTGTCCAAATTTTGCATGTGTCTTACACAATTATAGTGTTAATTAGTGAATGAATTTTTAATCAATCTTAAAGTCAAATTTTAATTGTTTGCTCTTTAATTGCTCAAATGATGATATTGGTATCCGTTAAAAAAAAAGTGCATATTATATTTAAATATTGTTAGAGTAAATAATATGAGACAACGAAATTTTTTTGTCATTCAAGTTTATCTTGATTATCAATTTAGTCTTTAAAGTTTAATCTTTATTAATAAAGTTTTTAAAATTTCATAATCATAGATAATTAGTCTCCATGATTCTTTTTTAATGAAAGGACAAATTTTATTTAAAGAAACATATCACAAGCTGGAGGCCAATTCCAAAGAAAAAAAAATCTCTTGGGAATTTGCCTAAGGTAAGAACAGAAAAAAAAAATATTAGAAAAATTACAACCATAGTAGAAAATGTCCTGATGAATGGGTTTGTGAGGAAGTTCTCTGTGAAGATAACTGGGTTGAGAAGTCTTCTCTGAAGACATCGGATGCAGAAATTTACATCTCTACTGGTGGCATGAATTCAGGAGAAGATGCAATCTAATGAAGAATAATCCTTAAAGCAATTAAAATCAGACCTTTCCATTTGAGATTGGTTGGGATAATCCATTTGAAAACTCTTTCCAAACGGTCACTAGAGTTAACATAAAAGAGAAGGCAGATCTATTTGTCAATTTTGGCCTATTTATAAGATAAGAAGAGGAGAATTTCTTTACTTACTTATGTGATCCTATTTATAAGATAAAAAAATTGTTTATTTTATTTATATTTATAAGAGATCTTAATAATTATTTTATTCATTTTTAACTTTTTATCCATATTATTTGTTTGTCAAAGCCAGTATATATATGTATATATACATATATTAATCATAAAAAAATATGATAGGCAGCACTCTTATTGAAAATTTGTACTTTTCAATCCTTATTCTAAAGCAAAGTGCTTTTCAGTGCCGCATTAACAATAATTTATTACCTTGCAATGCCACATCAACAATCACATTCAAGGTTCTATGACTATAAATATATAATACTCCAGCCTTTTTAAATTATAAAATAATTTTAAATAAAATTTTATATATTAATAAATTTCATTAAATACATTTAACACTTTTATATTTTTAAAATAAAATTATAAATTTTTAAAAATACTTATCATTTAATATATTAAAAAAGAGAAGGAGCAAAAATTAATTATAGAGAGAGGAAATATGATATTGAAATTAAAATATTTAATGTAATCTTAATCTATTCAAAGTGTCTTATATTTTAAAATGAAGAATCATTTGACAGTGTCATGTAATTTGATATGAAGAAACTATATGTGTGTAAACCTGAAAGTTTATGGCCTTACTACAATTCCTTGCATTCTGTGTTATGAAATCAGCCCCCTACAAACGTAGTTCCGTCCTTGCCAGTATGAAATTATCTAGAACTAAATGTTAATTCAATAAAATCAAATTGTTATTTTTGAACTGTTTGTTGTTATTAAATTCTGAATTGTGTAACATTTTTTGTTATTTTTTCTAGGTTATCATGGGAAAATCACAACACCAACTTGAGAAGCACAGATATTTACTCGTCAAAAATTATACTTGTTCTTGTAAAAAAAAAAATCAAAGTTTAACGTCTTATTTTTTTTTTTTTATGTAACTTGTATAAAATCTGAACTTGTCCTTCTATAAATTTGGAGCTTGACTTGTGAGTTTTTTGTATCATCTCGGTAAAAGTTTAGTAAATGACGAAACCACATATACGCTTAAAAAATTGAACATGTCCTTGTTTTTTTTTTTTTTTTGAGCAGAAGAACATGTCCTTGTTAAAAATCGAAGTTTGACTCATAAATTTGTTGTGTCACTTGGATAAAAAATTTCCGGTACATGTTGAAACCATATATATACTTGTTTTAAAAAAAAAAAAACTGTCCTTGTCAATAATTGTGGTTTGCCTGTTAATTTTTCGAAAATCTTGGATAAAGTTTGTCGATACATGACAACCACCGTCTGCACCTTTGAAAAATCGAACATATCATTGTCAAAACCAAAATTTGCTTGTTAATTGATTTACGAACTTGGAGAAATACAAAGCAATGCTTGAATTTATGAAAGTCTATTTTACGGATCTTGTCCGAACATGATATACCAAAAAAATGCATGTTCAAATCAAAGTTCTCGCTCTCTATCAAAAAAATATAAAATATTTTTAATTAAATATTATCTTTAATAAAAGTAATTATTTATTTTTAAATTTAAAATATTTTTTTTATATTTACTCCTACTTCCTTCATTTCTATTTATAAGAGAAACTATCACTTTTTATTTATTTTTTTATATAAGTAAAATCACATATTTTAATAATTATTTATTACATATTTTTTAAATAACCCCTCATAATTGACATTAATAAAAAATAATTAATATATGTTTGTGTTGATTAATATAGGGTATTTTAGTTTAATTTTTTTATTTTTAGACATAAGTATCATGATCAACCAACTTTTTTAAACTATATGATACAGTTTTTTTTTTGTTATATATAGAAATGGAAAGAGTATTTAATATGTTATTTTACTTTAAAATAAATATAAAGTGAATTATCTATTAAGGGTGCTTGTGAAAAAAAAAAGGATAATGATTACACTTTAAAACACTAAAAATATCTTATATTTTTTAACATTTAATTTTTTAAAAAATAAATTACATTTTTGAATGAGGGAGTACATACTTGTTAAAACATAGGTCTTGTTTGCTTACTAAAAAGGAATGAAATAAAATAAATTAAAAAAATAAAAATAAAAATAAGATGATAAAAAAGAATAATAGAGCATATTCATAAGGGAAAAAGTAATTTAATTTACGGGGTTGAAAATCATAATTTATAAGATTTTTGGAAGATGTGATTATTATCACATTTATAATATATATTAATGAGTTTTACCATACTTATTATAAGAAAGGATAATTTAGTTCATTTTTATTTTTATTTTGTTAATTTATTTATTTTTAGTAACCAAATGAAACCATAAAGTTTTACTTGTTAATTCAGTGTAATAGAATAGTACAAATATTATTTTCCTCCCCTTCTTTTTCCTCTACATCTTCATTTTTTTTCTTCATCTTCCTCTTTTTCTTCTGAATCTTTCAGTTCCTTTTTTTTTCTCTCGCATTTTTCTCTTCCTCTTCCTTTTCTTCCTTTTTTATTGTTCTTCCACATGTACCTATTTACATTTGCAAGGCTATTTTAAAAAATATGTGAACATGATACATTGAACTTTTACATGTTAATGTTATGAAATCTTATTAAAACGTTAACTTTTACTCTATTTTTTTTCCTTTGCCCTTCTGCTTCTTCCTCATCCTCCTTCTCTTCAATACCATCTTCCTTTTCTTCCTTCTTCTTCTAACACGTTTCCTTCTGACTATGCTGGCAAGGTGAAGAGGAAGTTCATTACTTTTAGTTGCTTCTAAGTAATGGATGATGTTCCATGCACATTCGTGGTGCTTTCCTAAATTAGGGTTATTTTCGTCATTTTCTATCAAAAGTTATTTGCAACTTTGGCTGTTAGGCTTGCAAAATAAATTAGTCACTTGATTGATAAAAACTAAATTTCACAAACTAAGTTGATAATTGAGATAAATGTGAAAGATAAAAAATTTTATTATCTCAAAAAGAATCATGAGCCATTTGATATAAACTAATGAAGTAATCTAAAAACGAGTCCCTCCTACAAATTGAAGTGCACATTTAATAGTACATTCACATTAAATTTACAAATTAATGGTTTCTTTAACAAAAATTTAGGTGAGTTGGGTCCAAAAGCTTATCAGGGTGCGAGTGCATGCCTCTAGACTTAATGAGTATTTAGAAAGTTACTTACATATCGTTTAATAACAAGGTGCTCACATTGATAGTTAGATTCAAACTCACAAATTTATGAACTATGAACTAAATTTTTATCAACTAAACTAATCTTTGTTGACAATTAACAAGTTAAATGTTAATAA